ATATAATATATATAAATTAATTAAATTAAATATATTAATATTATATTTTCATTATATTTTAATTATTAAATTAAACAAATATCATATAATATCTCAAATTAAAAAATATAACAATCATTTTCTCTAAAAAAGAGTTTCTATTACTGTGAAGCAGAAATTAAAAGAAAGAATAAGGATTTTGCATTCTCCAACGTGGTCGCAGTAACGACCCCACTTTTTCAAAATGAGAAGCAGGTGGAATGGAATGCATTTTGATTCGATTTTTTTTGAACAAATATTAACATAACATTTTATTTTTTTCAGTAAAAAAAATGACGATTTCACAAAAAAAAGGAGTGGGGGGAGGGAAGCACGAATGATTGGGAAATTTACATGGGAATCCACAATGAATGTGAATGAGTTGGTTAAAAAGGACATTTCCAATTCCACACAAAAGGGTGAGACTGGAATCGGACCGGGTCAGGTCAGGTGGGCAGAGAAATTTCATTTTCAGACTTGTTCTTTTCTTCCCCCTGTTAAATTCTAACACGTGTGCCAGCGTGGCATGCCACCTGTCGCTTTCAATATGGTACCTGATGCCAACGTGTATCCCGCCAGCCACGCTGGCAGCCAGCTGATGATTCATCACTGGAGCCACCACCGTATGTCCTTCCTCTCAGACTCACATCTCATATAAGCCTTGTTTTGCTTATCGCTTTCTTTCACCATTCAATACAATAACAAAATACAAGGAGAAATTATACCACCCTAATTCCATGTCACTTGTGCAAATTATCATTAAATCACTTAGATAATTAGTTCCATTAAAATTTTAAATTTGTTTAAGTTTTGTGAGCTTAGATGTTATCTATATCCCTTTTTTTGCCATTGCTATGGTCATTAAGGACATCCACACATTTTCTAGAGGCCATCAAGTCTAATATTGGGGCAATCATTGAGAATGATTTTACATCTCATCCAAAATTGCGTCATTGACCTAGCAATATGGTGGATTATTGATGGAAAAAGAAACTATAACTACAATTGCAAAATGAGATATGCTGACAAAAGAAAATAAAATTACAAAAGAGATATGGGAATAGGAGGTGGAAGATGACAAAGCAAAGGAACCCACTTTTGAGTTGTCAAAAGAGTCCAACCAACAAAGGGGACGAAGTGGCCTCCCTAAAAGAAAGTGGACAAAAGAATTGGGGGCCCCAAAGAGCAAGAGCAAGAAGACAAAATGCATATGAATAGCAGCTTGAGCACATGGTGCAGTTCATATCTCTCTGTGGCACACATGTCCTCATTATGATTCCATGTCTTGTGACATAAACACTTCTCTCTCTCTCTCAACATCTGCATTGTTGGAGTCTAAGGTAGGGGCCCTAATTGGGGAGGGTACTTTTCACGAATAGATCTTCGGTGGCTTAGCGTCGTATAGTGGGTTAAGTTTTTAATGGGTTAAGTTTTTAATGAAAGTTTTGTTGGAAAGAAACTGTTATATAAATATTATTTTGTAAATAAAAAATAAAAAAATAAAAATAATGTGTTAATTTTATTAAAATTCAAATGAGAAACTTATGTAAAAACACCTGTAGTATTAAGTTGGTGCGTTTGAAATTTATAATGAAATGAACAAATATTAACTTGTAAAAAATTATAACATTTTTCACAAATTATAATGTTTGATGTAATTAGAGCTTTTGAAATCCAAAAAGACTTTCCACCAAGTATACCAAATATAACCTTAGAATGGCACTCTTGTTAGTTAGGGATTAGGGATCTCACAATTAAACTCTTATAATCACATCTTCCATTTCTCAACAATTTCACCCTAATAATGTGAGGACTTGAGGTAATTCCGTTCATTTTATTTGGAGCAGAGATTTGAGTTCGAAGTAATTTCTTTAAAGTATAAGAGAGAAAGGGACTAGAGAAAGAGTTACATTTTTTTTTCTTTTTTATATAAAAATGCTGTTTTGGTAGTCTGCATTTCATTGTTTTGTGTTTTTTTCTTTTCTTTTCTTTTTTTTTCATATGAAAAAAATATTATATAATTTAAATTGTTTTAAACAGTACAACATCAACAATTAAATGAGAATAAACCTTGTAATATTATAGACTCTCTCTTCTATTCAATAATTCTTGTTTTACAATTTAATCTAATTTGAATTGTAAATTATAAAACCCTTTATATATATTATTATTGATTAATAGAAAAAAAAAAAAAAGGACTTACATATATATGGATTAGGTATCAAGTACCCTTATATGTATCATTGGTCAAACATGAAAAGGAGGAAAAAATGCCTCTTAAAAACATGGTAAAAGAAATGTCACATACATTGAGGCCAAAAATCCTATAATTTCTAATCTCAAAAAGAAACGTCTGTTGGTAGGATTGAGCCATAGGCGAACATCATCCTGCAGCCAGACCGCTTTCACCGTGCCTTCACTGGCTCAGCTCGTGGCCTCCACAGCCCCAACCTATATTTGTGGGCATATTTCAGTATCAATTTTCTCTGAAAAACCAAAGTCAGAGTAAGTTTCAGAAGCAACTAATGTAGTCAATTAGAAATCAACTTGCGGTTTACAGATAAGAAGAAAAGATGCTTCAGCACTTTTGTGCAAATCATCGTGTCTTGAATGAAGCTAGTTTCTTGTTGGCATATAACCATTTTCTAAGTAGCTTAAATATGGACAAATAAGAAAGGCAGAACAAGAAGGTGACATTGAAGTTCTAATTTCTAGAATACGAAAACACTTTCAAGAACAAGAACTTGATACCTTGCAATTCTAAGTACAATAATTTATTGGCCAAAATGAAATTGTGCAATAATGTGAATGTTGTCCTTAAGTATCAAAGCATACACTTGGGTACCTAGAATGGTAGCATGCCCTTTTACTGTGTTTACATGAACTTAATCTCGGATTGACCATAAGCAGACAAACTAAAATGCCACTGAGATGAGCACAAGGAGTAACAAAGCAAGTAACAGAAGCAGAATAGTAGAGCAAGGCCATAGGATGACAAAATAGTAAGAAATTATTTTCTGAACTACATTATTGAAACAACAGTATCCCTTCAAAACCGGTATCCTACTGAAAACAATCATGTGATCATACATGATAACCCCAAATAGTGTCATCCTACTCAAAAGAATGTATAAATGCCCATGAATGAAAAAACAGCAGTGTTACAGAAAAATATATAATAAGAAGAGTGTTTAGAATTGAAATTAAAAAAAAAAAAACAAAAGATTACATGTTTACAGGGAACGCCAAGTTTCCTGAGTTTAAGAGTACGAGTAACAAGCAGCTTCTGAAAGTCACCAATCTCAGATTCCAGCTTGGCCACATGAGCTTCAACCCCTCCCCCTACTCCATTCAGAAATTCTGGTATTCCAACCTTCACTGCAAAGATAAGATAAACGCTCTCAAACTCACTCATTACATTTTTCAAATGAGAAAAGCTGCTGAAGTCATGTTTTGTTACCATGAACCAAAGGAAATGGCAATTCAGAACATAACTACTTACTAGTTACTACTTGATACAAGTAATATTTCTGAACATGAGAAGATAAAACCTTAGCTTTCACGCTTGAGGTCTTTAGATTACTTTACACTGTCTTTAAGAAGTTGCAAAACCAAAGAAAGAAAGAAACACAAAAAACTATTAGCTTTAGCTAATCTTAACTTTCATCTATAGGCAAACCTAGTTACTTATAAAACATTAATCTATAAGATTTAAAATCTAATTTCAGTTTCTATTTCCCTCCATTTACTTACAACCAAATAGTTCAGAGAATAATAGAATGCATCCATTGCAAAGACCTATAGTCAAGCCATCTATTACAAATGAACTAGAATTTCCCCAGCCTCCTCAGTAAACCAAAAAAAAAAAGAAAAAAAAAAAAGGAAAGGAAAAAGAGACTGAATTACGGAAAAAAGAAAAGGGTAAATCTCAAACTTACTACATTAAGGGAAAAAACAAAATAGAAGAAAAAAACCCAGAATTTTATTTCAGGTTCCCATTCTTCAGATCAACCAGAGTTTCAATCTAAGAAAAGAGAAAACTTTAGCCATGAACTGCTAACAACAATTCCAAAACAGCACAGCCCAGATCACCAAACAAGTAAAATTCAAGTTATCTTCTATAACTTCCCAAGTAACCAAACAGAAAGCTAAGACAAACGCAAAATCCAGGAACATAAGGATGTCACCATATTTTGTTTCTAAAGACTAGATCTTACCCACAAAAGGAGTCGAATTGGAGAATGATCTAGAAAACCCAAAAGGAGTTGAAGCTGGAATCGCCCTGGTGTAGCTGATTATTTGCCTCCACGCCATTTTCAATCAAGGACAGGCAGTCGGTATGAATGTCCGCTAACCTCGGTCTGGATTCTTCTGTGGGAGATGATGGAGTAAAACGCACCGTTTTACCGTATTTAGTGAGGATAAAGTATTCAACTTCATCCCTAGCTTTGTATTGGGTTCCAATGAGGCCCTAGTATTTTTTCTCATGCCAATTAGGTCATTTAATTATTTTCTTTACAGTCCTTTCAGCTGCCTTCATCATTTCAATCAAGTAAATATTTACCAAATTCATTATTTAGTAGCAAAAGCTTTATCTCATAAGAAAGATCGTTAAAATCGAGATTTTA